CGCAGACATACCGCTGTGCCACTGGGGGTGGGGGGCATAAACAGTATTATTACCCAAATTTAAATCATACAAGACAAAACATCAAATTATACGTAACCAATAAATACTTACTGGACTATAAATCACAGCATATAAATATAATCAGTGTCATGTGGCTACTCTAATAAACTTCATATACATATAATGTAATAACATTATTTGACAATTATGTGGCTACTCTAATAAACTTCATATACATATAATGTAATAACATTATTTGACAATCATGTGGCTACTCTAATAAACTTCATATACATATAATGCAATAACATTATTTGACAATCATGTGGCTACTCTAATAAACTTCATATACATATAATGCAATAACATTATTTGACAATCATGTGGCTACTCTAATAAACTTATATACATATAATGCAATAACATTATTTGACAATCATGTGGCTACTATAATAAACTTCATGACGTCTCATGATAGCATCTTATTATAACATCTTGTAGATTTAGTCATATTTCATATGATTCGCTTTCTGGTGGCAACATACGTAAGTAGTTCCATTACACATAAAACTGCCCTCTGGCGCTTACGTGTGAAATTACTATAGCTTGCCCCCGTAATATTATGGATAATGTTACTTTGTTACTTTATGGATAATTGTTACAAGGTTGGTTTCAATATACATTTCTTTTAATATAAGTTTCCTCATTTCATTGCGATAAAATGAAACAAAGTATAGTAAGGGGTTAGGACGAAAAGTATTTATATCTACGTGAGCCTAACGTTTAGAATACACTAAGTATTCGAGACCTGAAACTCAAATTATTATTCGTCCAAATCACTCTCTTTGTTTCACTATATCTCCATCTTTTTCTCCATCTTTTTGTTTCCACTCTTAGAATCCCTTGGCTCACTTTGTGACTTTTAGTGTGACCCGTTTGGTGGGTTTTTAAGTAAAATTGTAGTTTTCATACACATCTATAAGTAAATTCATTAATATATTTAAAGCATGTCACCACGTCATTAGGTATTTTCATTCATATATAACACTGAAAGTTCACAATTATATATATATATACACATATATTATGTAGAGTAATCATCGCGTATAATTTAATTTTTTCATCGATTTAAGAAACTGTTATTTACAATACTTTGCTATCGAATTCTGAAATGTAAAAATAACACAAATAAGAAGTAGCATTATAAGGTTTTCATTGGCTTTATTTTAGAACAACCGGGCTCTTAAGGTTTTTCAGTAAACAAAGACTGTCACCATGTGGATACATCAAACAAGTGACAGACATTTTACAATGTGATTTGTTTATGTATAAACAATTAAGTATGTTTTATGCTATTATGGGATTCCTGGGGAGACCAGTATCTCAAACAGCATAAGGAGATATGGGAAATAACATTATTAAATGATTCGCAAAGTTCTGCTTGTTTATGTAGGTATGTAATTAGAACACTAGCAGCTGTCTTAAAGTGAACAGAAAATATCATAACTAGAGTAGACTTCAATAAAACAACAAAAACAGACCTTCTCTGAATCGGCGACACAGGTCCCTTTTCCTGAGCATTTTTCCTCTGCAGGTGATGAAGCACATTCTGAAGGTCGTACAGTCACTTGTAATTTCCACACTAGCTCACATTGCATTTCCGTTGACTTCAGATGAACTGGAGAGTAAAATATATGCATGTTCTTTGATTAGTTGAGTATTATTAAATGTCTTTGCATGCTTTTGGTTAATATTTCATTGATAACATATTGTTACGTATCTGATTGTTTGATAATTTCCGGTAAAAATTCTTTCCGAGTGACTTCAACGATACAAGTCATTTCTTGATTAAAACTAGTTTATTCTTTCTCGTTACAAACTTTGTAATGCATTTAATTTCCACAGTCACCTTAAACTTAACTACTTTTATAAACACACGCTATAATTCACAGCGATTCACACA